ACTAATCTAAAGTGCCTTATACCAATATAGCTAACTTTGCTCTGCTAAACCAGAACAAATCTTACCAGCGTAAGCATTCTTAAAGCATTCAATGTATGCCCATGTTGGAAGGCTATCACTTTACGTAAAAGCATCAACATTTTAAAGTGTAGACTAGGCCTTACTGCCATTAAGCTTTACTATGCTATTTAGTTGGCTGGTTGCTGAGACCATAGGACAATCAAAGGCGATTTTTAAAAAACCATGGATTCAAGATGGATGCTTGTTACTATTGATACATGTTAATTAAGTCCTTTTATACAAAAAATGCACCAGTGTCAACTGTTAACTCAAAATGATTTTGAGTTTATAGATTACTTCATATGGAGCTGCTTTTAATATTTCCACTTAGTTCAAGAAAAGGCACCACCTACAACTTGTGTCTTTGTTACTGAATTACTATTTATTATGTTTTAGAGTGTTTACTATTTATTAGTATCTGGTAGTAGTGCCAGTTACTACTTTTGAATGCAATATTTACATCCTTTTGCTTTTCTTCTGGAAATTATTGCCAGTTTAAATTTTGTCTGGTTTCTATTAACTGGTACATTTTTTTTTTTTTTCCCCCCCCCCCCCCCATTTAAGCAGTTGAAAAACCATTACAAGTCTCTCAATTCTGAGGGTTTTTTCCAAGATAATATATTGGTAGGTTATATGAAAACATGGCAAAAGGAAGTAACTTGGTTACATGTGACTCATTGGCAGAGAGAGAACAAGGGTCACATCAGTAAGATTGCATTTGTGTTTTTGCTAGTTATGCCTGTTTCCTGTAAATGCAGTCACACTTTATCTTGCATAATAACGTAAGCAAACATAGGTGGGCCAGAAGTTTGAGAGATGAAAGAGAGACAAAAAAGAAAAAAGCTGGAATAAGAAAATGCTACTAGTAATTTGCGATATTAATGAAAAGGATAATCCGGACCAGGAAAAGGAGGTGTAATTGGATCACTTTCCCTAAACTTGCTGTCAGATGTATCCCCATTTCATTATACATGAGGCGCAGGGGGATAAAGTTGTGTGTTGCCAAAAGAACAATGGTCATATGAGTACTTGGACTGATACATGTTTTAACCAATGACAGTTATCTGTCCCTTTGCTTGAGCATGAAAAAGAATTGAATCTGTAAGGACTAACTAAATCTTTAATTTTCCACAGGATATGTTGATAATTATCATTACCCCTGGAGCTATAAATAAGTGATAAACTGCCGGAATACAGTTCAGGCTCTCTTGCTTAACGTGGGCTTGTCTGGACTTATTAATGTTTTCCCCTGAACTTTTCCTCCAAGCTTCAATTTGGCATTAAAAAAATATTACCGTCTTTGCACTGTTGGTTTTGCATTTTTGAGAAGGTGTTGAGTTGTGGAGGCAGCTTAGTCAAAGCTGAGCTAATTTGCAGATACAGGCCGTCCAATGAGTTTGAAAATGGAAATACTTTCAGAGTGAGTATAGGTAAAGACTTCCTTTCCAGTAGTTGAATGGGAAGGGTGGAAGTCTTCAAAGCTTCCCTTTGCTTTGCTGTATTGGGGGACTTAGGACCCACCCCCAAACCTAGTAGGCACTTAAGGGTTTGTTTGCTTTTTAAATCTTGCTACCATGGACTCCTCTGGTTATAGATACTCTCTAGGAAAGGTTACCATGGGTGGATTTGGGGTTTTGTAAAGGGGGATGCAGGAGCAGTTGACCAGCACTACTGGCGGAGGCTGCAGCCCTGTTCCCACCAGGGCAGGTAGTCTATGCCAGAGGAGCAGCATCTGGGGACTCTCTTCAGTCCCTCAAAGCAAGCAAATGGGCAAAAAAAAGCCACTTCCTTCCTCTCTGAACCCCCTTCCTTCTCCTTGCTCAGCAATACCTCCCATTTCCCCCCTCCTTGCCCTCTCACTGCTGCTATCACCATCTCAGCCTGGGGGTGGGATGAGCTCCAGGGTCACTCCTGCCCCACTCCAGCCAGGCTGACTAGGGAGCAGGGTCAGCTAGGGACAGTGGCAGCAGATGGGTTTCCCCTCCCCGTGCCCGCTTCTAAGCTGGCAGTGAACACCCAGAGAGATCAGGCAGGGAGGATGGACCTGCTGGCCACTGTCACTGCCTAGCTTAGTCTGGACCCCATGCAGCCTTGGAGGGGGGCAGGGGTGGCTCTAGAGCTCCTTTTGGCCCTGGCTCAGTTGGGGACAGTGGTGGGGAAGGAAGAAGAGGAAATGAGCACAGAGGGAAAGGGAGGAGTGCTGAGAAGTAGTGGTGGGGGGGGTGCAGCGGTTCTTACTTCTTCTTATTATTATTTATTTTTTTTTTTTTGTATGGTCCCTGAAGCAAGTCTGTTCCCACAACATGGTCTGAAAGGGATGTGTGACCATGCCACTGACTCCCTCTGGATCTGCCCCTGAAAGTTATTGTACTGCTTCAGGACACGTTATCTGTTGGGGAATCCCTGACTGTCCTCCTGACTGGGTCTGCCTCTAACCCTTCCCTAGCATTAGTCCTTTGTATTGGCACTAGAGGAGAAGCTACCTTCCCCTTCTGCTATAAAACCTCCCTTTTGTGGCAGGGCAGGATGATCTGCACACGGAGAGAATGCTTCATGCACAGATCTAGGTGGGGTGATTTGCTCCGAAATATGTGGTGGCATCCGGAGTCCTCTTTCGTTCTGCTGCGAGGAACTCTGTCCTCGCAGGGAATGTGCAGAGCAGCTGCTGTAAACCGAGCGTGGAATTTAATGACTCAGCACTGAGCAGCAAGGTGTTTCTTCTGGGTGTGTTGGACCCTCAACTTTTCTGACTGCCAGGATTGCTAGGATCAAACACTGTAGATGGAGGAGTAAATTTGTGATACAGAAGGAAGGGAGAATTGGAAAAGAGGAGGCAGCTATTTGATCTTGGGGCTCGTCTCCTTCTCTTCTCTCCCTCTCTGCCAAGTACATTCATGTACAGGAGCTGATCTTGCTTTTGGTGTAAGTCTGAAACAATCAGTAGAACTTAAACTAATGTAAAGAATTACTTGCAGACTCTGTAACTGTTTGGAGAAGCTAATTGGAAATTCTTTGAACACTTCCTGGACCTCATTGTCCTAAATGCCTTTAGTGGAGTTTCTTCTGATTTAGTAGTATTAAAAAAGAAAAAAAAGAGTTCAACATGAGCATCTCTCCACTTGTGATTGCATTTGTTCCCATTTTCTTTGTTATAACAGTAGAATGTATTCTCTGCAACTTTTAGAGCTTCCTGGGTTTGAGTAATCTTTGTTTTAAAGAGGTGTAGGTGTTTGGGAGGATCTCTCAGTATCTATTTGGAAAACTAGATAATTGTCATCTTAGTGAATTAGTCTGCTCACATATGGATATCCACATAAAACTACAAAACCCCTCCTTTTTTAAAATCACTTTAATGTATCCACCCTAGTATTACATGTCCTCTTATTAAATTCCGTTCTTACTGAATAATGGCATTACCCTCTGAGTGACAGAGGTGCTTGTTACATGATCTTACTTGGAGATACATCTGGAACTTGGCCCTTAACAGGGCCTCAAAATAGAAAGGCCGTTGTAGAAAGAACTTCATTAGAGGACTTGTGAGGGGTATTGGTACAAATCACTTCCATCACATGTAGGAGTTTAATATTGTATAATAAACATATCTGGACACCATGTATATTATTCATTTCCCATGTTAGATTTCTTCCTATGGCAGCTGATTCATGCCTCATTCTTGGCTGGAAGCAGATACAGTCTTCAGCACTCAACATCAATAACACTCTTTAAATAGACAGTGGGAGGAACAATACTGATGAGCACTGGCCTTCTGTTAGTCTCTGGTTTCTTAGAGAATTTCTTTCCACTCTTAGCTGCTGCATGGGCTTTATTTGCAAGGGTGCTGACAGAATTGTTTCTGGTGTCGCAAACTTTGCTGTAAAACCCAAATCATTCTGTTTGAAGTTGGAATTACCCAGCATAACAGGTGTGTGTGTGTTTTAAATAAGACTCACTGGGTGTGCCTACACATGCAATTAATTCGAAGCGGTAAACTCCAAAGTTTACTTGCCTACATGTACAATTAATTTGAAGCAGTAAAATTGTACTGGAGTTTATTACTCTGGGGTGCTGCATTTGAATGTGTGCCTGGGACCACAACATGTTGAGCCAGGTCAGAGCAACCCTGATTATAGCAGCAGAGCTGGGGGTTCACCCTGCCAGCTCAGCGCTGCTCTGACCCGGCTCAGTGTGCCCCAGCCAGCCCCTCCGCCGCACGAGGGTGCTCCAGTGCAGGGCTAGGCGGCAGGCATCCCCCACACATGGAAGCACCCTCGTGCCCCAGCCAGCCCTGCTAGTGTCTACATATACATTGCTCTGCACTAAACTCTGGTGCAGTATTTACAAGTACTAACTGGTGGTGTTGTCTGTTAGTTTACTGTGCCATAATAGGGGCACGCATGTAGGTGCTGAGACGTTTACTGTGGAGCAGATTAGGCAATTCCGCAAAAAACATCTTGTATAGATGTGCCTATTGTCAGGAAATGTTTAAGCCTAAGTCACTGTGTCAAGAATGCTAACTTAAAAAATCCCTTGTTCAAGGGAGAGAGCAGGATTTTTTTATGGGCAGTGGTGTGGTGGGTTTGTTTGGTTTTTTTGGGTGTTTTTTTTTTTTTTTGTTCTATCCTCCTGCTCCCCTTCCCCCATTGGAGCAACTGCTTGGTTAGACTTAAATGAGCTTTTGAATACAGTGCGTTCTTCAGGTCTGAGGAAAAGGCAGACCCAGCCAATACAACCATGATAAATAATTTGTTCAGCTTTTTTTTTTTCATGCTGCATGCAGTTCTGAATGATTTAGTTCTTATTCTCTTTTTGGAAATGTAATGGGAACACAGGAGATTAAGCTCAGATATACAAAATTCTTTGAAGGATGAGTGCTAGGGTTACTCATTCTTATAAGATGCATGGAGCCTAACATCTGAATCCTAACACTTTTAAATTTTTAGGAAGGCCAGTCATCAGCAAACGGTCCATCTCGCGACAGCCCACGGCAGCCACAAGTGAGAGAAGGAAGCATGGGATACCCAAAACTTCGTGCTGGCTATATCCCTATTCCGGTCATCCATGAAGGCGCTGAGAACAGACAACAGTACACGTATTATTCCGCTCCTCAACCTGCCACGCAACGATTCAAGGCAGAAACTTCTCCCACCTCAGTGCGGTCGCAATCACCCTTAACGGGGGCTTACGTCTGCTCGGAGTCCCCTGCTCGGGGACCAATTGAAGCTGCTCAGACAGATAAACAATGTGGACAGACAACAGCAGCTGTGACAGCCCCGGTTCCAGCCTCACATGGGCCTGAGGTCAGTTGTCGGTATTGCTGGGAGCCTTTGCCACGCTTACGAGCTCAATGTCATTATGGCTCAGAAGTCCAAATTTACCACAAATTGCATTTTTTCCCAATACTTTCAAAGTACCTAAGTGGAAAATTACATTCATTAATGATTCTGCTGGCAGTCTTCAGCATTAAAGGCTTTTAATTTTCTCTGGCTTTACAAGGTCTCCTTCTCAAATGATCTGCATGTAGATTGTTCTCCTGTTTCACTGTCTGATTTCAGTGGAATTACTTGTGATTTTTTTTTTTAATACCAGTGTAAGTGACAGCATAGTTGACCCTCTGGTGTCCTGTGCTATAGATATGGAAAAAATAGGAAGTTAAAACAAAAATTGAAAGTAATAAATAGGATCTCTTTAGAAGCAGCCACACTGCATGTTTGTAAGCAGTGTTTTGCAATTTGATGTTTCACAGGCTATAATTTTATACTTCATGTCAACTCTCTAAAAACAAAAAGCTTTAAAAGTGAATTGCTGAAAACTTGTGTTTTGTGTGGGGTTTCTTTTTCCCTCCTTTTGATAGATTTGTAATGAAATCCGTAATGGCAAAGATTTAAATGCTCTGCTTGCTTTGCATGTCAGAAATACTAGATTTTGGTCTTGTATCTTTGCTGGAGAACTGGAAGTGAGATAATGTGCTCACTTGGACTAAATCTAAGAATTGGGGGGTGGTTTTCCAGCCCTGGATTAAATAAGGAATGGATACTGAATTTGAGGTCCTATCCATCCTACAGCTTTCAACCAAGCTGGCTGTCAGAGTGGCAGGGTTCATGCCGAGCAAGATTTGTGCCCATAAATGACATGGCCAAAACTTTGTCTCGGCTAACAGCACGGTTTAGCGCACTGTTAAGCAACGTGGCTCAGAACGCGTCCAGGATTGTGCAACGTGGCTCAGAACGTTGGAGAAGTGCTTTTGACACTGCTCTCTTGCACTTCCTTCGTGTGCTCTTCTTCCCTAGACATAATGAGCACTCCACAGAAGGTGACTGCCTGTAAACCTAGTGTAGACAAGGCCTTGTTTTCCTAAAATATCCCTCCAACGTAGTGACTCTAGTGCGCGTGATACTGGGACTTCTAGTGTAAACAGAAGCCACCAGCATTGTATTACTTAAACTCTATAAAAGGATTTCAACAACGATGGCTGAATGAAATGCTAGCACCAGGAATATGATGCCATTGCTAATGCTGGTGAAACTGCAGGCACAAGAAGCTGCAGGGAAAAAGAGACTAGTGTATACAGCCTAGCCCTAACTACCTACAACATCACAGGTGAAAGAACCAGGATGAGTCTATTTAAATCCCTGTGACTGTGTGAGGGTGGCAGTGTGGGGTGGAGGGGAGGAGAGCAGTGGGGAAAGAAGAGTGGGGCTTTTTCCTTCTTTTAGTTGCTTAGCTCTGTCCCAAATTTATTGGGTTGAGATGAGCAAAAGAACTGAGTTTAGAGCAGAGGTGGGCAAAATGCGGCCCGGGGGCCAGATGCGGGCTGCCAGGCCATTCTATCCAGCTTTCAGGGCCCCTAAAAAAAATTTAGAAAATTAATATTTGGTTGCCCCTGGCTGCCTGTCCTGCGGCCATTGATGGCTTACCAAAACTCAGTAAGCAGCTCTCCGCCTGAAATAATTGCCCGCCCCTGGTTCAGAGTATGATAAAATCTCTCCTCCCTCCTCTGTTTGAGACTTGGGAATGCTACAGCTCAGGTTTCTACCTATTATAATGATTGCCCCACACTTGTGTAGTTTATCCACTGGGTCCCCAAATAAACACATCAAGTCGGCCAGGATTAGATGTTTCGGATATGCCAACAATCGGATTCCATCCCCCACGTTGGTTTGTGTGTGTTTGGGAACTGTGAATATCGCAAAACAATTAATGTAACAATACTTTTTGTTTTTACAGCAACCTCAGTCTCCTTCAAGTTCTGAATTGCCACCAGTTTCTCCCCAGTCATCTGGCAGAGCCAATGCAGGAAGCCATCAGCTCCCTCGAGGTTATATTCCAATCCCTGTGATCCATGAAGAAAATATCCTCAGGCAACAACCACAAGTCTACCATCAAGCACAGAAGACGCACTACCCTGCTCAGCAAAGTGATTACCAAGTCCACCACCCAGTGTATCACAAAATTCAGGCTGATGAGTGGGAGCCCAAGACAACACGAGCACAGCCTCCGTTCAGAGTGTCTCAGAAAGGCTCATCAAGTCGTGACAGTTCACCAGCCAGAGTTACCGCTCAGATACAGCCCACAACTCCCATCAGAGTACAGACTGTTGTGGACAGACCACAGGTAGGCAGACGAGTCAGAAATGTGACTTTTTAAATTTTGGGGCATATAGCAGTTATTTTGCTTGGAACATCCCAAGTTAAACACTTGGATCGTACTAGTAAGTGCACAGATATTCCTGAAACCTAATTCCAGCACTGAGTTCTCAGCTCAAGTAAATCCAGTTTACTTTACCTGAAATCTAGCTTTTAGTATATTTTAAGAGTTACCATGTTACTGAGGGGGATTCTCTTCATATCTGTTCACGCACAAGACGCATGAAAAACTGAAATTTAGAGCCAAAGCAAAGCGAGAGAACTTGGGGTACACCAAACCAACTGATTTTGACATCCAGAACAGGATTCTCATCTTGTTTTACCAGCATAAATTAAAGTAATTGCAATGAAGTCTGTCTTGCATAAGTGGTTTGCGTGTGTGGGTTTTTAAAGCATATGTAATGGGAGAATCCGGTTCAGGGGGTTTGCTAGAAAAATTGCAGCTTTGCCTCATTAATGTCTTTTATTGTAGCACCAAGTGAAGAAAATTATTGCTGCTTTTATCATAATGAAAAAAGATTAAAAATACTTAAATATTTCAGTGTTTTTCATCTACATACAGTGCTTTCTCTATAAATTTAGGAACAATGTGTTCAATTCTGCATTGTGCGGGATGATGAATTTCTACCTTTTTGAGACTAATTTTTCATAATGGAGTACCAGTGTGTGCTTTTCTAGACAAGCACCTCTGAAATTGAAGCCTTTGGAATAAGGAGTTTTACAAGTACTTTACATTTACTAATTTAAGACTCTCAGCTCCCTAGTCAATTTGGCATAATATCCAACTGTAAAATGGATATTACAAGGCACCTATAAGCTAACTGAGTGCCTTCAGGTTGCACAGCAAATTGGTTACAGACCCAGAACCAAAACTCAGTTGTGACTGACACTACAAGCTACAACCCTTTGCTAGATTGCAGCTTGGGGACATGCTATTAGTCATATGAGAAAGACAAAGGGAGGACTACATTTTTGATTTAAGGTAAAACACCCTCATGGTATGGTAAACTGTAACAACTTCATATATTAAAGCTTTTTTTGGTTAGTTGTAGGAATGTTTTAATCGTGAAATGAGTCCAGAAGAATTCTGAATTGTTTTCAAAACATTGTTTTAAAAGGTACAGGAAACTGGATTTTATGAGAGACCTGACTACAAACAGCTAAAACCTGGCACAAGACCATGGATTAGTGTTCAGTTTATAAGTTTGATGAGAGGAATTGGTTCTACCACATTCTCTTTCTGCCTTTTGATATACTCCAGCTCTGTGCCAAACTGGGCGTGGGCTCCGGTCCAGATTTCCCAGAAGGGAGAGGGGGATGCTACACTAGTCTACTGGAATCTGCATCTGAGCCCATTGTACTTACTGGGCTAGTTCCAGGTTATAAAATCTGCCTCCCGGTTTTCTAGTCCTCTCCCAAAGGATCAGTTTTTCAGTTGTTAAACTTTGGGAATAGCCTGTGATTGATTGGTAAAGACTGTTTACAACCTTAACAGTGCTGATACTCATGTCCTGTAAGAAGCTGGTTTTGACATAAGTTTTTTTTTTTTGTTTTTTTTTTTTAAGCAGCAGTTAACTTTGGTATGATGGAAAAGATTTTGAGGTCCTGGTTTTCAACAGCAACTAATGACTTCAGTTGCTACCACCTCAGAGACATTTTAAAATGTCTCTGGTCACTGGTGATGCATCGGGGGTGCATGTGCACCCCCTGAGATTGACTGTGCACCCCCTGGAAGGACCAGCCACAAAACTGGAAATGCTGGCAGAAGTGTGCTTCTGGTTTTGCTGCTGGTGGGTCTGGTCGGCGATCTGGTGCCCCCTCCCAGACTCGGGAGGCACCCAGCAGTCGCCCATGGCTCATGTTTCAGAAGGGAAGTGCTTGGCACTTTAAGGCAGGGGTGGGCAATTATTTTGGGCAGAGGGCCGCTTACTGAGTTTTGGCAAGCCATCAAGGGCTGCATGATAGGCAGCCAGGGGCAGATAAATATTAATTTTCTGAATTTTTTTAGGGTCCCCGCAGGCCAGATAGAATGGCCTGCCAAGCCACATCTGGCCCCCGGGCCGCATTTTGCCCACCCCTGTTTTAAGGTGTCTGAGGTTGGAGACCCAAAATCACAAGATCCTTTTGAAAAAACTGAGCTTTGAGATTGCAATTGCTTTTTAAAAAAAACCCAAACAAATTAAGAGTTGTTGTTTTCATGTCTCCAAAAACCAAACAAATCCTTGTCTTCCTGTTCAGGCTTCTCCACAGCAAATCCCACCTCAAGAAACCTCACCAAGACCACCTCCTGAGAGCAGATCTGAAAACAAAGCAAGCCCAGTTCCACCGTCTGGAGTTGGGGCGCCATCATCTTATATCCCCGTTCAAGTTGTTCAGAAAGAGCCAGATTCTAAACCACCTCCACAGAAACCTGTACCCATGCCAGAGAGGGATGATAAAAAGCTTTCCTGTCCTCCTAAAAGTGCACCTCCAGAGGAGAGGCCTGCTCCTGAAGAGACGCCAGCACCGAAAACCATGGAAGAAGCGGAAGAGCTGCAGAAGCATCCTGGGGTTTTGAAAGTGGAGGCAATTCTAGATAAAGTACAGTTGCTTGAGCAGGCAGTGGATTCCTTTGAAGGCAAGAAAAATGACAAAAAATATTTGATGATCGAAGAATATTTGACCAAAGAGTTGCTAGCCCTAGACTCTGTGGACCCCGAGGGTCGTGCAGATGTGCGCCAAGCTAGGAGAGATGGTGTAAGGAAGGTCCAGAATATTTTGGAAAGACTTGAACAAAAAGCAGAAGATGTCCCAGAACCAGATGAAAATGATGGATTTCAGCCATTCTTTCCAGGGAATGATAAACCACCACAGGAAATCATGGAGATTAATCCTGTGGTGGATAAAAGCAAGGGCGATGCAGGTAAACAAGTTGCCAGAGAGGAAATCAAAATGGAAAGGCATCAGCCTGAAACTAAGGAAGACGTATTTACCAATCTTGCCAGCACCACAAACCCATCTCATAACCCAACCGAACCATAGCTACATGCTAAATTATAAAGCTCTCGGACTTTTAACTCTAAGTGTGTTTAAGTGAATTTTAAGTTGCATGCATTTCAGGAGCTTTTTATCAACTGGTTTTTAATCAACATAGCAGCTTGGGACACAGTAAACACTTGGGTAGCTGAACAAGGGGGCTATAAGAAAAAAAAAAAGTAATGCATTTATCCTATATTCTTACACAATAGAAAGAGACATGTTTCAGGCCCTGTACATCAGTCACTTCTGTGCCATCTGAGTGCAAAAAACCCTCAGGGTTAATATTGATGCATGTTGTATTGAAATGTTTCTTTTGCAGGTGATTTTTGTAAAATCAATGCCCTGCGGACTTAGAATCCCAAATCCTTCTATAAATGTAGCCACTCCAACAAGAATATTTTATTTTTAATGTTCACAATTGGGCACTTTAAGTAATGATATATAGAGGATGTGTAAGAAATGGTAGGGATATTTATGTGTGTAGAACTTCAATGCTATATTTTAAAAGGGAAATAAAATAATATAGAAATCTGACTTAGTCTTGTGGTTTATAAGATAGAAAGCTGAGTGCATTTGGAAATTTTCTGCTCTTTCTAGAAATAGGAATGTTTTTAATGCCCTCTTTATAGTTTAGATAACGTCTGGTCATCTGAGTTCTGAGCAGGTTAGCTTTGAGTCCATTCATAACTTCCCTTTTTTTTGCAACAAGATAAGGAGAAGTATTTGGTTTTGCATTTGATTTTTAGTGATACTTTTCCACTTCATCATCCTCTTTTCTATCCTTTCTCCTCTCCTCCTCTCCCTTCCTCAATATGTTCATTAACTGCCTGTGCCTTTTTTTTGTAGCATTAGGGAATTTATAACAGTTCATTGACCTGCTGGTAATGTCAGGGACTTATTTTGGGGCATTCTTATGTGAAGCCTAGCCAAAGAAAATCATGTTACCGTCATCCAATTTTACCAAGAAGCCCCACACTGAATTTGCATCCAGCCTTTTACACCACTGAATCTGTGGCATTAAGAAGGAGCTTGGACAGGCATTCAATTTTTTCCAGGGAGAGTCCCTGCTCTCAGGTGAAACCACGAATGTACAGAAGTTAAGCTTTTTTTTTTTTCTCCCAGAGCAAAGCCTGGGAGAAAAATAACTTGGGAACAACCAGGGTGCAGGGGCTCCCTGGAGACTTCTCTCTCAGGAGACAACTTCTGTACAGGCAGCCAGTATACTTTGCTTTTTCTTCTCCCTCCCACAAGGTAAGGGAGAGCAGTGTCGGGAACAGAACACCCTCCTGCATGCTTTGGGCTGGAAAAGCCCAGCACTGAAGCACTTACGGGGTGTTTTGCTTCTGGCTTGTTTCCTGCCTGAGTTGCACTTCAGCGCTTTGGTGCAAGGAAGCATACAAGTATATGCCCTGCCCAGCCTTAGCTGGGCTCCAACAGAGCGTAGGAGAGGGGAAAGGCTGGAGGACTCTTGTGCACAGCACAGATCCCACTCCCAACTTCTCTGTGATTGGTGCCTACATTCACTTAAAGCCTGCAAAGCTTTCTGGGTTGTGTGCAGTAGGGATCCCGGCAGCTCAGCTTTCGCACTGCAGGTTGTTTGCTTCTCTGCCTGAACTTCTGTACAGGTCAGGCTTTCTGTCAGGAGTTGTCCTGGATGACCTGAATGTGTGTAGGCAGCCAGGGACGTTCTGTTTTGGCTTGTTTGGCAAAACAACATAATTCAGTTGCTCTTTCCTAAGCAATCGGCAGGCATGCAACATGTCTAATTGACATGCATGCTGTGTCTAATTTTTCTTTTAACTCCATGTGTTTAAAATTAGAACAATGTTAAAGGTAACAGTTATACTGGTAAAAAACCAGTGCACATGAGAAGGGCTTCAAACAAAACAGTTTTCAGTTGTCATTTACACTCAAACTAGGATTTGTTCTTTTTAAATTGTAAAATGGAATAGCAGCTTTTTTATTTACAATGGCCTTCCAGCCCTACTTTCCTATGATCCTACAGGCCACCTAGTCCAGCCCACTGCTCGGGGTGGGATCATCTCAGAAAAGTCTGTTCAATCTGCTCTTGAAAACTTCCAAGGATGGAAATAGCCTGTTCCAAAGCTTGACCACTTACTGTCAAAGCTCCACCTAATCTCCAATCTAATTTCCTCTGCCATTGCTCCTTGTCCTGTCCCCTGTGGACACAGAGAAAAGCCCATAACCATCCTCTATCCAATCACCCTTCAGGTATTTGGAGACGTATCAAATTCCCCACCCTCCCCAATCTTCTCTAGACTAAATAATCCTAGTTCGTTCAGGCTTTCTTTATGAATCATGCTTCTCAGGCTTGTAATCATTTTTGTTGGTCTGTGCTGGACTCTTTTCACAATGAAGCTTTTGAACTAGTTCCTTTTCTGATGTCAGTGCTGAAATTAATTGATCCCTTACTGAATCAGGCTCAAAGTTAGAAGGGGATCAGATTGGTAACTAGACTTAAAGCCATCTGAAATGTTGGGTATAAGGCATATTGCCAGTAAGAATTTGGAGTTGTCATTAGATAATTTATTCCAACAGATCTACATAGTTTGTATGTCTTGGTGGAACAGATCTTCTGAAAGAAAGGCTATGCGCTGCCTGTATACTTACTAATCCACAGGTAGAACATTTTCTGCTGTTGTTTCAGTTTGATAATCAACAGCACCATGTAAAAATACACAACAGTTTTTAACTAGTTGGCTACTCCTAGCTTTATGAGCAGCATTGTAAAAGGGGTGTGAAAGTTCATCTGCCTGCATAATTCTTGTATGAACTCACTTCAGTGACTCATTCCTGTAGGATTACATTTCGGCCGAGGACGCACGCCTCTGACATCATAAAACAAAAATACTTAAATTGGGAAATTCAGCCACAGCTTCTAGCAGGCTATCTGCAAATAAAAGGCCCTTGGAGTTCAAAATATTTCATCCCTTTTCTCACATGTCCTTTCTAGCACATTAAGAACAACTTGATATTAAAAGTCCCTGATCTGATGAGACTGTATTAAGAACTTACACTCCATTTCATTATTAAAACAAGTAACTTCTTCACAAAACACTAGATAGATGCTTCATTTAAGGGTTTTTTTGTTTTTTTTAAGAGCACCTGGCTAATGGTGCCTGAGTCCTGTATCACTATTCATGTTGGTCAGAGTAGATGGAGCTAAAATTTCATTACAACAGCATTGGTGAAAGAAGCAGAGAAAGAAGATTTTGATTTTTTTTTTTTTTTTTTTTTTTACTCAGTTAACCCTTTACAAATAATTCTATTAAAGTCAATAATAAGGGACTAATCAGCTAAGTAAGAGATAATGTAAAAGGAAGACATTATGACTTGGACAGTCTCCCTTCCTGGTTCCCCAGATCAAGGGAGGCAATAAATTGCATCCAGAACATGATGCATGGCTTGACACACTAGGAAAGCTATGCTGGTCTGCATATTGCAGTTGGGTGGAGCCAAGACCACTTATTTTTCTGGACCTTGTGTTCTACCTCTGCCAAGCTTATTCCCATTTCTGTACTGTGCCCCATGATCAGAGGAGCTGGCACAGGAGACTGAGTTGTCACAAGTAGTACAGTACTTCGGAGACAAGTTTGGTTTTAAGTGATTAGCTATAGAAGCTCATTAATGATTTCTACCAGAGGCAGTATTGGATGCCTCTACTTGCAGCACTCCCAAGTATACTAGTATGTTCCATAACTAATGGACTGAGAGTGATTTGTACGGCAGAGTGCACATAAATGTAACACTGAATGTGCAGTAGTCACTTTATAAAATAAAAATATCCAAAGAATGTTCAATAACAAAACATGTGAAGTTGCCTGGCACTTACTGTGAATCAGTCTCCCTATTTAAATAAAAAAGCAAAATAAATCTCAAAGATTAAACCTGCATCGTTTTCCCAACTCCCAAGCTCATGATAAAGGTAGTGAGAAGGATCTAAAATGCCTGTAGACAGAACCACAATTCAGGCTTGCGCTATTTTCTGATTGCACTATCTTGTCCTGCCAGTGATATTTTAAATGCCAGTAGTGGCTTATTCTCTATATTTAAACCATCACGACAGGCAGGCATTGTGTTTCTCATAAATATAGCATTTTGGCTATTTACACACGGCTTAAATTATATCCTGTCTTTTCCCCTGAATGAGGAGCACATGTATTTACAAGGCTTTAGGAACTGACTAGTTGTGACAGTTTGGTCTGGGGGTCCCCTTCTTTTTCCAGTGATGGGAAGTAAATTGCACAGGCCCCTTACCAGGTCTGTATTACTTGTCCCTCCATTAGCTCTGCTGCACTGGGTGAAGGATT